AATACTAGTATCGACTTTGTTCATTACAAAATGTTGTATATGATTGTGAGATAAAACTGAAAAAGTCTTAAGGTGATGTTTCTGTGGTTAACAAGGCGATTAATTTAGACTTGCCATGATGGCAAAGTTGAACTAAGTATAAGGCGATGTTCCCATGGTGAACAAGGAGATTAACTTAAACTTGCCATGATGGCAGAGTTGAACTAAGTATGAGGCAATGTTTCAGTATGAAACAAGGCAAAACTTGCCATATTTTGGCCGATTTGTGCGAAAAGCCGAAATAGATAATACTATCGGTACACTAAGGTTAAGCCTTAAGTGTTTAGTTTGGGTGAGCCAAACGCGATAACCTCCGTCATGGATGTCTAAGTTAGACTTAGGCAAGAATCAGGCAATGTTCTCATGGTGAACAAGGCGATTAACTTACATTTGCCATATTGGTAGAGTTGAACTAAGTATAAGGCAATGTTTCAATGTGAAACAAGGAGAAACTAGCGACGTTTTGGTCAATTTTTGCGAAAAGCAAAGGTAGCTAATACTCTTAGTATACTAAGGTCAAGCCTTAAGTGTTTAGCTTGGGTGAGCCAAACGTGATAACCTCAGTCATGGATGTCTAAGTTAGACATATGGTGAACAACACGATTAACTTAGACTTGCCATATTGGTAAAGTTGAACTAGGTATAAGGCGATGTTTCAATGTGAAACAAGGCGAAACTAACCACGTTTTGGCTAGTTTGTGCAAAAAGCCGAAGTAGATAGTACTCTCGATATACTAAGTTCAAGCCTTAAGTGTTTAGTTTGGGCGAGCCAAACACGATGACCTCGGTCATGGATGTCTAAGCCAGACTTAGACAAGATTCAAATAATGTATTTCTAATGTGAACCTAAGTTGTATTTACATTCACATTAGGAGGTAGAGAACAAAAATGAGTTAATGAAGACTGAGTCAGTGATTTGAAAGTGATACTTGGTGAAATTTTCAAAAAAATTGAGTCTTAGCCTTCTTGATAGGCTGTGGCATCTGCTCCTTGCTGTAACTTGGTCCTTTTTTCTTCATGTGCTTCTCTTCCAAGATGTTGAGTTGCTGGAGACATGAGCATGTTGGATTGACTATAAGGAGATGGAGTGGATCACACAGTTATGACATCAGGGATGTCAGCAAGAAGGTCTTCTACGACAAGCGTTCAGCAAGACATGTTGTTATTGGTGACGGCGATGGTTACTCTCAGAAGGGTGATTGGAGGATTGTCAAGGTCGAAGGCTGGGAGCTTAGGACCTCAATGTTTCCTATTCCTGGTTCTAGCTACAAGATTATCGCTATGTTGGTGTTTGCACTGCCATTGAGATAATGGGTTGATGCGTGGAGTACCTGATGAAGTGCTTGGCTGCTAGTCTGGTTCAGCTAATAGAGTTTGAACCTTGGGCACTATTCATAGCAATGAATGCTTCAAGAACAACGATGATGGTTTGCACAAGCCAGGAGAGAGAGAGAGAGAGAGAGAGAGAGAGAGAGAGAGAGAGAGAGAGAGAGAGAGAGAGAGTCTGGAGACACAAGGAAAGACAAAATAGGAAAATGAAAAGGTTTTGTTAGAATGGAAAGATGTGACAGATTGTAATGATTCAAGTTTCTTGGGAGATGTGTGATGGCTGATGACGTCTAATGGGGCAGTGTGTGTCAATTATGGGATGTATTGGAAACCAATGAAAATGTGACACGTCATGATGTTGGTATGACGGTGGAGACAACAGATTTCAAATCTTGATGTTCTTGAACTAGCAAGTTATGACCTCGGCTAGTAATGCGATCTCAGTTGAGAAGTGCGATCTCAATTAAGATGTTGATCTCAGTAAAGATGACGATCTCGGTTGAGATGTTGATCTTGGTTGAGATGATGATTTCAGTTGAGATGTTGGTCTTAGTTGAGATGTTGAATTTGGATGGGACAAAACTTGTTTGTTTTTGGTTCCTGATGAGTTAATACTAGGATTTTGATGTTCTTGAACTAGCAAGTCATGATCTCTACTAGTAATGTGATCTCTGTCGAGATGTTGGACTTGGATGAGATAGAACATGATGGTCCATGGTTCTTGGTTTTTGATTCTTGACGAGTGGACACTTGAGTCCTTGTTTCTTTATGCGGCGAGTTATGATCTTGGTCGAAAGAGTATTTCTAGCACATTGTTTTGCAGACATGTTGGAAGATCGAACAATATAGGTTCCATAACCTCAGGCTGCCGAGGTAATAGAACCTAGGGGGCAGTTGTGGAGAAGCAGTTTGAGAATGACGCCACGTGGCCAAGGTGCCTTTAAGATGTCGGCCGAGGTGTCATATGGGCGAGTCATGTTTGCCGAGGTGATTGCGACGTTGCCAAGGTTCAGTGCGATAATGCCGAAATCCGAGATATTTGGATAAAGGACACGAGTCCTAGATGATATCAAGCTACCTATTTGGATAGAAATGAGACTCTTGAGGAAGTTCATCTTAATCTGAATAGTGTGAGTTGTGATAAATGTTATCATTGTAAAGGATAGAGTCCGATGAAGTAAGATTTTTAGGAGAAGTTAGAGATTGATCATTATAAAAGTGAGGTACTCCCGTGGGTTTAAGGTATACTTTTATTTGAGACGCTTTAATTTGTGCATTGAGTACTTGTGCGATATCTTTGAGAGATTATTTGACTGACTTGATCGTCGAAGTGCCATTGGGTGGACGAACCACCGCGATATTCTCATTTTCTTATTGGCAGGTGGTTGGCTTAATGTATTCTGCCACGTTCTTTGTAGCTAAGTTCTCTATTTGGTTGTTTGGTAAAAAATCAACACCAACACATATCAACCTAATTTTTTACAAGAATAATTTATGTATTGTGATATAAAAAAATAAATTATTTAGATTATTGATGTGTGGTCCATGGCCAGAAAAAATTCTCAATTGTTCTGGAGTAATGTGTTTGCAGTGGAGAAAGAATTGATGTTAGAGGAGTCTAACTATGAAATGAATCTAAGCCATAAAGTCGTTATTTTTAGGTAAAAATTTATGAAATTATAGTATTACTTAAAACTATAATTAGCACTCATTTGAAAAGTGATAATTTTTAAACTAAATGAGGTGAAAAGAAATCGAGATGTTTAGAAAGAAGTTTTTGACTTTTTACCCAAAAAATAAAAATACAAAAAATGGAGTATTGGAAAAAAAAAATTAATTATTATTTGTGTGTGTTGCTTAAATTTTTTGAGACAATCACCAAAAAAAAAAAAAAAAAAAAAACAGTTTGAATCTTATAACAAAATAAATTTTGAATTTTGAATTTTATCAGTTTAAACTTTAATTTTTTTTAATTTATTTTCAATCTAAACAATTCGTTTATTTTTGTTAAGTAAAATTGATTAAAAAAATATATTTTTGTTATAAAATTCAATATAATTATATATAAAATATCTAAAATATCATTTTTCATTTACTTTAATGACTAAAGTATTTATTATTCTACAAATGTTACTTAACGAAAATAGTCAAATAATTTAAATTGAAAACATATCAAAAATTTAGAATTTAAATTTTAAAAAAAATTAAAAATTAAAAGTTTATTTTGCACAAGGGTCAAACCTTTGTAATTCTCCTAATTTTTTTTTGTTTTTTTGATTATTTTTTATTAACATAGTTTACTTTTTTTAGACGGACCAATCAACTTATAAGTCAGCGGAGTCACACAATAGCTCCATTCATCTATCCCCGTATTTGACTCACAGCCGCAGCAGCAACTCGTTTCCCACCGTCCGATGGGTTTATTCAAATTCAACTTTTCGGACAGATCACGTCTACGTTTAATCTTATCTACTTTCTTCAATAATCAAACCATCATTACACACACAGCTGAGCTTTACTCCCCATTTCATTCTATCAAAAAAAACATAAATAAATTTGTCTCTCTATCAATAATAAAAAAAATAAAATAAAAAAATTGGCATACAGGTCTAAAAATTAAATTTATTTTTCAAATTTAATTATGTAACAATCAATTAAAATATTTAAAGCAATACTCTCTCTCATATATTCTCTAATCATCAAGCAATCATATCACTTACACATCATTAGATCTAAAAGATAAGTCTAAATAATAGACTTGTATATTATTTTTTAAAAAAATAAAAAAATTATAAATACATTTCTTCAAATTTATTTAAAATTACTAAGTCAATTAATAAATTTTAATGATATTTTTAATTAATAATTTTGATAATTTTATTATTGTATAAAAAAATAATCATAAATTTTATTTTTTCTAGTCAATTGTGTTAAATGGCAAATTTTAACAACAACGTATTTGTAATTTTGAGAATCACAAGGATAATTTATATTTCAAATAAATCTCAAAAAATATACTTATAATTTATTCAAAAAATGAAAATCTCTTTACCTTTAGTTATTACTTTTATGATTTTTGATTACTATTTATTATGATATTAATTATGGCTCACTATGATATTAATTATAACATTATTTTAGATTTTATCCAATAACTTTTTAATTATACTTTATATGTTGTTTAATTATAACTTATTTATTTTTTGATTATAACCCTATCGTATTGAGTTATCATATTTGTAAAAATCAAACTCACAGATGTCATGAGACTCTTTAGGCTTGGATTGAAACACTCCAAATAAGATGTTTATTGGTTTATTTTTATTATATCATATCTCTATTTTTCATGAGCATTGCTATTTAGACCAAAAAATTAGTCCTAATTTCTAAATTCAGTGACATGATGATTGGTTGATAATTAAATATTCTCTAATTATTGACTAATCATTTTCTTGACACATCACTAGATCAAAAAATTAGCCTTATGTATTGTTTTCTATTTTTTATACATTTTTCATTACAAAAAAATTAAATTAAAAAAAATTAAATAAATTATAAATTATAAAAAAAAAAACCCCATACCCAAAATAACCCTTTGGTATTACCCTTCTCTCTATATATGATGTTTCCATGCCGATACTCTTACCATTCTCCCCCCTCTCTCTCTCTCTTTTTCTGTGTGTGTGTTTTCACCACCACCGTGCCTCTTCACAATCCCCCTCTCTCTCTTTTCTACCCCGGTCACCGGAACAGATAACCAAACATGCCAGCAGCCGGTTTCGGCCCTGGTCCTGGTACCGGAAAGGAATATCCCGGTGAGCTCACCCTCTATGTCACCCTAACATGCATGGTTGCAGCCATGGGTGGTCTCATCTTCGGTTACGATATCGGAATTTCGGGTACACATACATACACTGTTCTTTGATTCTGCATATATCAATGTATACTGTTATCTACAATTTTTTTGATCTGGGTTTTGGTTTTTTCGATTTGGGTTTTGTGTATTTACAGGTGGAGTGACATCTATGGATTCGTTCTTGCAGAAGTTCTTTCCATCTGTGTACGAGAAACAAAAGGCAGATAATTCGACGAACCAGTACTGTAAATTTGACAGTTTCACTCTCACTATGTTCACTTCTTCTCTGTACTTGGCTGCTCTGTTATCGTCGCTTGTTGCTTCGATAGTGACGAGAAAATTGGGAAGAAAATTGTCGATGTTGTTCGGAGGTGTACTGTTCTGCGCCGGAGCTCTCATCAATGGGTTCGCTCAAGCTGTCTGGATGTTAATCGTTGGTCGTATTTTGCTTGGTTTTGGCATCGGATTCGCCAATCAGGTACCCTGTTTTCTCTCTCTCTCTCTCTCTGATGTTTGAATATTCCCTTCTGTTTTGGTTTTTGTTTTGTTTTGTTTTGTTTTGTTTTTTTATAAAAACCAGAGTATGTGTTTTTGGAATTTGTTTGAGTCTTCCTAGATCTCTTTTTGTTTTGTGTTTGTCTTGTTATATATATATATATATATATTAATCATTGTTTGTTTTCTTCATTCTCTGAAATTAATTTTGTTATTTTTTGAAGCAAATATTGCATTTCTTCTGATTCTTAAAACCAAAAGAAGTGTTTTGGATCAAGGCATTCAGATGTTTCAATGGTTTCTAAAATCACAACAGAGTTTGTGTTTAAGTCTTCTGTTAAAAAAAATTTCTTTTCCAAAAGTGATTTTGTTACTTTCTGAAGCAAATATTGCATTTTGTTCTGTTTTGTTTTTTTTTTTTTTTGAAACAAAAACATGTGGCTATTTGCTTCAGATCTGACTAGTAATCCAAAAACAAAGGACTGAAGTGCTAGAAATTCAGTCTGATACTTTGTTCCAAGTAATCTTCTTTTGCAGCTCTTTTAAATTCTCCATACTTTTTTATGTAATTTGGCCTTGTTTGACTGAAGTTTTAGCTAAAAAATTATGAATTGTCATATTATTTTTCATATTATATATATATATTTAAAAAATTATTAAAATAATCTATTCTTAAACCAAGCCTTTGACTTGTCTTTTTCTTTCTGGTTTTTCAGATCAATGATAAGATGAAATTATTTGAGAAAAAAAAACTCAAATTCGTCATTTCTAACAAATTAAGTTCTAAATTTTGAATTTTGTTAATTTATATTTTAATATTATAATTAGTTTTAAATCTAAATTACTTGTCTATTTTTGTTAAGTAAAATTGACAAAAAATAATATTTTAGTTATTATACTCTTACATGTTAAATTAATTTTAATAACTAAAATACATTTTTTTCTTCAATTTTATCTACTAAAATTATACAAATATGATTTATATTGAAAATAAATCAAAAAAAAAATTTAATTTAATTTGTTAAAATTAAAATCTTAATGTTTATTTTATTACAAAGCCTACATGCTGAAGTTTTTATGTATTTTTAGGAACTCAGAGTTTAATTTTTCCAAGTCAACTTTTTTTTTTCCAAGTCATCTTTATCAAACTAAAACCTCTATCTTCAATTGACGATTGATTTGAATCCTCTTTCATATTGCTTTATTGCTTTACCCTGTAGTACTAGCAGTCCTCACAAGTCAAGTCAATACCTGAAATAAAAAAAAAAAATTAATTCATGATTAAAATCAATAACACTTTTTTTTTAAAATGATATTAATTTAAAGTCTTTACATGTGCCTTGTTTTTCTTTGGACATGACTCTGTGTGCCCCTTTTACGCCATAGTTTACTCGTAAATGCAACGGCATTGAATAGAAACAAAAATTTTGAAAATTGATTTGAAAACAACTTCTTCTGTTTTTTTTATAAATATATGTCAAGTGTGCTGTGCTGTGTTTTGTTTTTCTTGATTGGATTGAAAATAACATTTTAATATCTATTCTTAGAACATGACAAGAACATGTTGTACACTTTTTGTTTTTGTTATTTGTTTTTCTCCAAAAACTTATTTAATTTATTATTCAATTTTGTAATGAGATTAATAACGAGTTACCCATAATTTGTTTTTAATTTGAATTAATTTAAGTACTAAAACATTGTTTTTGATTTGTAATTACAGTCTGTGCCACTATACCTCTCCGAAATGGCTCCATACAAGTACCGTGGTGCACTCAACATAGGGTTTCAATTGTCGATCACAATCGGTATATTGATAGCCAATGTGTTGAACTACTTTTTCGCCAAGATCAAAGGCGGTTGGGGATGGCGGTTGAGCTTGGGGGGCGCAGTGGTCCCTGCCCTCATTATCACCATCGGATCATTAATCCTTCCTGAGACGCCCAACTCGATGATAGAGCGTGGCAAGACCGATGAAGCCAAATCTAAACTCCAAAAAATTCGCGGTGTTGATGATGTTGATGAGGAGTTCAATGATCTTGTCGCGGCTAGCGAGGCATCTAAGAAGGTGGAACATCCATGGAGAAACCTTTTGCAAAGGAAATATCGGCCCCAGCTGACCATGGCCATCCTCATTCCCTTTTTCCAACAACTCACTGGCATTAATGTCATTATGTTCTATGCACCGGTCTTATTCAAAACAATTGGTTTTGGAAGCAATGCCTCACTCATGTCGGCTGTGATCACTGGTGGTGTGAATGTTCTCGCAACACTAGTTTCAATTTATGGTGTCGACAAGTGGGGAAGACGGTTTTTATTCCTCGAGGGGGGTACTCAAATGCTCCTTTGTCAGGTATAATTTTGTTTTTCGTGTTTTCTTTTTTTTGGTTATGTTTACATGTTATTTATTTGATTTAATTTTTGTTACGACAGATTGCAGTTGCGGCTTGCATTGGTGCTAAGTTCGGAGTGCAGGGGAACGCGGGTGACTTGCCAAAGTGGTATGCTATTGTTGTGGTGCTTTTCATATGTATCTATGTTGCCGGTTTTGCGTGGTCATGGGGACCTCTTGGTTGGTTAGTACCTAGTGAAATTTTCCCACTCGAAATCCGTTCAGCAGCGCAGAGTATCAACGTGTCAGTCAACATGATTTTCACATTTGCGGTCGCTCAAGCCTTCTTGGCAATGCTCTGCCACTTGAAGTTTGGTTTGTTCATCTTCTTCGCGTTCTTCGTGGTGGTGATGACCATTTTCGTGTTCTTCTTCTTGCCCGAGACAAAGAACATACCAATTGAAGAAATGGTGATTATATGGAAGGAACATTGGTTCTGGTCGAGGTTCATAACCGAAGTTGATTACCCAGCTAATGGAGCCATTGAGATGGGCAAGGATGGCAAGGCTACGAAAAATTGGTGACCCGTGATGAATTCATATTGCTGCATATTTATACAATCCGCGAGGGATATGGATAGAGTTTGATGAATTCTCACATCTCAGTTTTTCGACATTTCTGAAATAATTGATTGATGATATCATTATATTATGTAATAGCTAGTTGGATTTCTTCTGCATTTTTATTTCTATGGTAGTAGTAGTACATATTGTTGATTTTCAGTGCTTAGAATTATAAGTTGGTTCAAATTGTATGTGTCTCTTAGTTTAGAAGCATCTTTTGGGTTTGTTGAAAATGAAATTTCAAGCATGGATATAATGCAGATTTGTAAAACAGAGTTTGTTAAATTATGTTTTGATTATGAATATCATTGTTAGAAGTCTCTTTGCTATTTTGGTACCAAATCAAGTCTTATTGTGTGAGAAGTTTAGATTTTGTTTGCATCATAAATATAAAAAGTAAAAATGAATGAAATGTTTTTTTTTTTTTGTTATACAAATCCTTTTTCAAGTTCTTGATCCAAACATAGACATAACATTAGTGTCATTTGTAGCAATTTTCATATTTTCCCTTTTCACATTGTTGTGCTTTTCTCTAAAAAGAGGGTGGTAGGGTGTTGAGAGGCAAACACATCTATATACGTTTTTCAAAAAATGAAAACAAAAGAACAAAAAAATAAAAAACATAACCGAATAAACCTTTTGCATCAGTAAAATTCATTAACAAACTCTATAAAATATTTACAGAATTATACTTTTGTATGCAACTCTTTTATCTTCATCTCTATACATTTTTAATTTACAAGATATATAGCACATGCTATGCAATAAAAATTAAGTTAGCAGTTATAGGGTCCAAGAGGTGTAGGAGGAGACCGTCAATGTGTTTGGTTTTAATTTTTTGAATTTAATTTTTTAGAAATTGAGTTTTTTATTTTTTGTATTTTTTATTTTTAGTGAATATTTTTAAAAATTTAAGCAATATTTTTTACTTTTTTAGATGCACCTTACTTAGATGTATCTAAATAGTAAAATATTTGTGAAATATTATTTTAAAAAATTAAAAAAATACACAAAAATATGAAAAATGTACTGAATTTTTGGCTTTTTTTTTTTATTTTTGGTATTTAATGAATTTTTAATGATTTTTTTCACAAAAATTTTACTTTTTAAGTGTATTTATGTTAAGTGCGTCCAAAATTTTTTAAAAAAATATTAAAATATTAAAAAATCAGTAAAAACATAAAAATATGAAAAACGAAAAAGTAAAGTTTTTTGAAAAGTGCATTTTGAAAATGAAAACCAAACAAAATGAGACTATCAAGATTGGCACATGAACCCCCTAACCCTGCTACATTTCCTAATATAGCACTTCTATTTTGATCTCTAATAAGGTTTTCATCCCATATTATTAAGAGAAGATCGAGATTACCAAATTAATGCGCTCAAGCATTTTTCTTAATATGTATGTTGATTCAACTTTTCAATCGCACCATTCCATTACATATTTGGGGTTTCATTGTGGTCACATGGGAAGGACTTTTGGTTATATAAGCATTGCGTTAGAGCATCTCCAACCCACTAGGCATATCATGCTTGTTAGTCAAAATGCCTAGTATAACTTATTTTTTTCAACTCCAATGCACTAGGTATATGATTAGGCATTTTAGCTCAACTCACATTCACTAGCTACATGTAGCTAGCCTTCAAGACTAGGCAAAATATATTTAATCATTAGGATCATTTCCCTCCATCTTTGTTGCTGATCCCATATTATTAAGAGAAGATCGAGATTACCAAATTAATGCGCTCAAGCATTTTTCTTAATATGTATGTTGATTCAACTTTTCAATCGCTCCATTCCATTACATATTTGGGGTTTCATTGTGGTCACATGTGAAGGACTTTTGGTCATATAAGCATTGCGTTAGGATTCAATGTGACCCTGCACAATTTCGTCAAGCATCCTAATCAAAATGAGAAAATTTTGCATTGTTGAAGTCATCATCTCATCAAAGCTTGTCACAGTATAACCATAAAGGGACAATGAGAATGACAATGACAATAAATGAAGACTGGAAAGCCAACCAAAAAAACAAAAAAAACAAAAAAACAAAATTGATATAAAATCAAATGTATATGACTTATTAATCAAAAAGGTATAAAAATAGTAAATACTCAAATGATTGTACCACTTTGACAACTAGTGGTGGTTTTGGCTATACTTCCAACTGAGTTTCTCCATATTAAACTCAATGTGATTAACCATTTTGATCATTTTTATTTGTAATTATGTTATGAGTTATCACTTTACTATTTGGACCTATTAATTATAAAACTATTTCAGTTTACCTCTCTAGAAAGAGGTTTGTCCCTTGTGTTATTGAAATAGTGAAAACTTATTAAAATGTTGAGAGAGAGACAGAGAGAGAGAGAGAGCTAGGTAATTGGATTAACTTGGGATTGTTTAGGATGACTTAAATAAGTGCACTTTTTGTCTTTTTACGAAAAGATGTGCAGAAAAGTAGAGAAGTGATGTGATGAAAAAAAGATAAAAAGATAAAAAAATGGATTATTTTATAGTAGCCAAACTTTACACCAGCTTGACTTTAGTGAACATAGTTAGGGGTGGAACCAAGAAATTTTTTTTCCGGGAGTGATCAATGTATATATATACATAGAGAGAGAGAGAGAGAGATGATTTTAATACATTACTAATTCAACATAATCCTTTATACAAGTGTTACTAAAGAAGTATTTCACGAGAAAACTAACTTGGGATTGTTTAGGATGACTTAAATAAGTGTACTTTTTGTCTTTTTACGAAAAGATGTGCAGAAAAGTAGAGAAGTGATGTGATGGAAAAAAGATAAAAAGATAAAACAATGGATTATTTTATAGTAGCCAAACTTTACACCAGCTTGACTTTAGTGAACATAGTTAGGGGTGGAACCAAGAAATTTTTTTTCCGGGAGTGATCAATGTATATATATACATAGAGAGAGAGAGAGAGAGAGAGAGAGAGAGATGATTTTAATACATTACTAATTCAACATAATCCTTTATACAAGTGTTACTAAAGAAGTATTTCACGAGAAAACTAAATAAATCTAACAAATAATTTTTTAAGTTTTTAAAAGTTTTAAACTATATATTAGAACTCAGGTTTCGTTTGGCAAGTAGTTTTTTTAGTCAAAAAGTCAAAAAATTATTAAAAAAATAAAAAAGCCAACAATCTATACCAAAAAAATCAAAGATTATATTTTCTCTCTACTTTTTGTACATCTTTTCGTAAAAGGTCAAAAAGTCATCTCAAATATAATAGTTTTTTTTACATCACATTTTAGTCAAAAAGTCAAAAAATTACTAAAAAAGTCTGTTCACAAACGAGGCCTCAGTATACAATCAGTTAAAACATTACTTTTAGCTATTTTATTGATTAATATAATCCAATAAATAAAAAGTAAAAAATGATTAAGACCCCTAAAACAGGACTCTCGAATTTGCACTCAATGACGTTGAATGTTACTTGTTAGTTGATTTATTTAGAAATCAATCAACTAAAACTCAACCTCTATCATACCATTGTGGATAAATTTAGAAATAAAATTTTTGGTGCTCCAACATTACTCACAAAAACGTACACATACTGTACGGGGAGGAAATAATTCTCCTCGTATAATCCTGTTGACCAAGTCCACGCTCCTCCGTACGACGTCGCTTTGTCACCTGAAAACACAAACGTGAGCTAGCCGGCGGGTGTGTGCCGGAAACCTCTCCGATGCCTAAGTCAGTAAGCTTGACAAATAGACAAAGATTTATGCTCTCAAAAAGTATTGTGTTCAATTACCTCCTCCAAGGTGATGCTTGTGAGCTTTTATAAGTTTCATATGGCACAATCCTAGTAGGACTTGTATTTCTCCATGCAGAGTCCTCCTAGGATTCACTCTCCTAAGGATAATGCTTATCCTTTTACACCCTCCCCCACTGCTCAAACCAAGTGGGATGGTTTTCTTTATGGCCGAACTTCCATTTCACCGAAGTAAAATTGGCTATACCGAGCCACAGAGGGCCGAACTATCCTTAGCTCGGTCTTCTCCTCTAACTCCTTACTTCGGCTGTTCTGTTCAACCTTGACGTACTTAGATCAAACTTCCAAGTAACAAGTTCTGACCGACCTAACCATTGTAAGTCACGACCGGACTAACTCCGAAACCGGCCTTCTCAGAACATACTGTGACCGGACTAACTCTGAGACCGGCCTAACTGTGAGTTGCCTCCAGACCAGAGTAATTTTACTCTTCCTTGGGCCGAACTAACTATCTCTTCTTGAGCCGGAGTAATTTCACCTCCTTGGGCCGAAGTAACTTTGCCCTTCTGGGCCGGAGTATCTATTGCGGCCTTCTTACTTAGTCCTTCGCGTTTTGGGCCTTAATGCCCAACTAGCAGCTCGGCCCAATTTTTCCCAAAAATTACCATCTCACATACTATTTGATTTTTGAAATTAAAAAAATATGTGACATGTGCATCTTGTGAAATACTAATGAAATAGAATAACAGCAAAGAATTAACTTTCAAAAATCACAATTATATGTCTCTCAAAATATCTCACGTAGCAAGGGACAAGGCTTAAGTCTGGAAAGTAGTATCCCAGTTACTTTGGACTTGCGAAAATATCTGGGTGTGCCTCTATTCACGGCCGAGTCTCATTTTCCACCTACAACCACCTCATTGATAGAGTTCGTAATAGATTAGTGTGATGGAGAAAGCTAGACAACTCTCACTAGCGGGTCGAGCCACTCTTATTCAATCTGTAACCTCCTCTATCCCTACGTACTCCATGCAAACAACTATGCTCCCAAAGAAGGTATGTTCTGCTATTGATAGCTGCCACAAGCATTTCTTACGGGATGGGGAAAATGTTTGTAAGCCGTATGGGAAAGAAATAAACCTTCTCGTATAATTCTATTGACCAAGTCTGCGCTCCTCCGTACGACCTCGCCTTATCACCTAAAAACACAAACGTGAGCTAGCCGGCGGGTGTGTGCCGGAAACCTCTCCGATGCCTAAGTCAGCAAACTTGACAAATAGACAAAGATTTATGCTCTCAAAAAGTATTGTGTTCAATTACCTCCTCCAAGGTGATGCTTGTGAGCTTTTATAAGTTTCATATGGCACAATCCTAGTAGGACTTGTATTTCTCCATGCAGAGTCCTCCTAGGATTCATACTCCAAAGGATAATGCTTATCCTTTTACACCCTCCCCCACTGCTTAAACCAAGTGGGATGGTTTTCTCCATAGCCGAACTACCACACGACCGAAATAACACTGGCTATGCTGAGCCACAGAGAAGGCCGAACTATCCTTAGCTCGGTCTTCTCCATCATGACC